CACACACACACACACAGATTTTCACACATGCACTCTCTCAGCTCAGCAGCACCCTGGCTGAATGCTAATTACATCCTATAGCTCTGTTGCTGGGTGAAACCACGGCTCAGATGGCGTTAAATTCCTCCACGTTTCCTTTTAACACAGAAGAACAATACAGCATTTATGAGGAGTCAGAGGCTGACAAAGGAGCGTTGAAGAGCAGGAGAAGGTTCAGCTGGAGGAGGGAGACCTAAACATGCAGTGCTGAAAGCATCCCATTAATTAAAGCTGTTTGTTTTTGCCTTTCATATATTGATGCACCGTGTTAATCAATCACCTCTTCTGTCCGATTCGATCCACATACAGCTCTGGTGGCTTTCAGCCAACACGCACTAAGAACTCCTCTGTGTTAATACACAATGATGGCGTTGAACTGTACTGTTGATCTGCTTCAAAGGAAGAGATGGAGCAAATTGATATGCAAAATAATAATGAATCTGGGATATCCATGTGTCTTCATCTCATCGTCATTAAGTGAGTTCTCACTGCGGTTCTGTTTCTGCACAGCACCCCCCAGAGAGGCTCCCTCAGTCACTGCTACGGATCCAGAAAAATTGACTTGCGTCCATCCGGCCGGTGTTGTTTTCAGTCGACACATAATATGCTTTAGTAGTTTTTAGGAGCAGTTTAATCTGGTTATTCATGACGAAAAACACACTGATTAAAGAGCTACAAGGGGACTTCCTCAAAATGAAATGACAAAATACATCGTGACAGTTTCCCTTTAGAACGGCACATATAAAGGTTGAAACTATCGGCAGGACAACATGATTTGTCGGTGCCTTTCAACACCGTTACAAACTACATCTGGCACCGCTGTATTTAAGGTTCGGTGAGGTTTAGGCACAAAAACAACTCTGATAGGATGAGGCAAAGATCGTGATTTGGGTTCAAATGAATGGCCGGTGTCACGGTTCAAAGAAAGCTTTTTAGCATTCAACATTTGTTGTTGCTGCGTACACTTAATTCATTAATTATAGATGAAAAAACACAAAACAATCTTTGAAAAATAAAAGCAAATTGTCAGTCGCAAAGCAGCAGCTGAAAGTTGCTATATTGGTCATTGATGGATGCTGTTGTCTTACAATTCAATACACGATACGAGGAGGAGGAACTGCTTGTCACAGAAGACTCCAGTGACAGCTTGGAAAAGCCATAAATGAATAAGTAAATCCATGGGCAAACATCTTAGCTGAGGTTTGGAAGTCGGCAGTAGAGTGTGACAGTCACATTCATGCTAACTGCCAAAGTACTGCACTCAGCATTTGTATTTATTACAGCGTTAGCATGAGGAAGGTATGTGTTTTTGACCGGCCAGTGGAAAACGGCTGTAATGAACAGCCTTGTGATGACAGAGAGAAGCAAAATTACATTTTATTGTAAATCCGAGGGTTGTAACCTAACTTAAAACAGGTATACGATTATTATCAGACGATCTGTGACGGTTGAGCAAAACTGAGAATTGGACGGGAAGTGGTGAAGCGGAAAGATGAACACAGAAAAGAGAAAGAGACACAGCATTGTCATACAATTTCCAAGGGAACAAGGAGAACTATAATGAAACAATGAATGGTTGAGATAAATACAGGAGGTGGACAGAGAGAAGAAGAAGAAATACACACGTGTGGTGGAGCTCAGGGAGCCATTGGGTCCAATGAAAGTGGGCAGTACAGAGGGGCATTGTGGGACTCAGCTGCACACTGGCACTGGTTCAAACACACACACACACACACACACACACACACACACACACACACACACACACACACACACACACACAATATATTGAAAGAAGAGACCCATGCAGACAGCCATTTACTTATATCAATTTGATTATTATTTGATAAATCTTCTCTGTCACACAGTGATCACACAGACTTCCCTCCACTCTGTGAACATAAAATACTGTTCAATATACAACAGTAACAGTAACAATGATTGGCTAACTGAAGTGCCTTCTAAAAATAATGGATAAAAGTTTACCCTTTTTAAAATTGTGTTCGGTTACTGTACCACACAGACAGCGGGCAGGTCATGTGTGCGGAGTAGTGCTTCAACAGGACAACGTGGTTCTGTTCTTACCTCTTTTCTGACGGGGCCAAAAGAAAGTTCACATTACGTAATACAATGATTGTGAGTGTAATACATGACTAAAGCCTACTCTCACTCGTTAACATAAAAGTAAAATCCATCAACACGGAACAGTTAAATCATCAGACAATAAAGACCGTCTCCCTCCAGATTAGATCAGCGTGGAGGTTAACGAGGTCTAAGTGCAGTTATGAGTTATTATTGATTTAACGCAGGCGTTTGTCTCTAAAACTAGATACGTCCATTTACTGCGCTCCCGACGGGGATCAGCAAAGTTTGATTTCACCCAATCTAATACAGCCTTAGAATAAAAGCCACTTTAATTGGAGCCAAAGCAATAATTTTGAGGTTTGAAATGACATTAATTAAAAACAAGCGGCCTCTTTTATCTGGACTTTAAAAAAAATCGTTTTAAAGTCATGTTTTTTGATAACCTTCAGACACTGATTATGCGTGATACAGTGGTTATGCGTGAACTGCATCTGCGTTGCAGTTGTCCGGACACGTTTAAAAGTGCTGCTAACTTTAGTGCGAGTCTCTCAGCCTTAATTTAAATGGCGTGGTGTTTAACTGTATTTGCACTGTAACCTAATAACGCTGTCATGGGAAAATACAACTTCCTACTGCTGTGCTTGTAATTCAGCATAAAAGCGACATTACCACGTACCAGCGTAAGTGTGTATTTGCAGCATGAGTACTTCATTGTGGCTCAGAATATGAGGTTTTATGTCGTTTATATTGCTGCCCACCTCCTAAAAGTCTTAAGGTGACAAAAAGCCCATCCTAAATGTCCACTGCTGGTCTTAAGACCATAACGAGGAACCGAAGGTACAGAAATGAACACTGTGGTTTAATATTGTCTCAATGTGTGCTTTGACTTCATCTATCCGTCATTAGGACATTAAACCTGGATCTGGATCACTCACTGTGTTTCTGTAACACGACCACTCACTTCATGTACCATCTAACGGTTTAAACCTAAAGTACTCAACTAAACTATAATGCAGCTCCCTGATGGGAGGTTTTTACCGTTGCTTTTTGTTTCCTGTTGTGCTGTTTTCATATCAAACAGCAGGGAGTCGACTTTGTCCTAGTTTGACTCTTTGACATTAGAAACTTTTAATGAATGAACCCCCTCAGGGGGAAACCATCCCACTTTTACAGGATCACATTATGTATGAAAGATCAGTTCCTGCCAGGATGGCGATAATGATCTTTTTGGCTTTATTTGAATAAAAGACCAAAAAAAGAGTTCCTGCTGATAGAGATGACACACTTTGTAAACTCAGCTAAAATAAACCGGCATTTAACTGGTCCTGTTTGCACTGGCAGCGTTCCTAGAACATATCTCACGCTTGGAAATGAAATGAAATGGAGCCAAGGTTTATCTCCTTTACCTGCACAGACATTAGTAACATATCCCATGATGACAGTTTAAAGTGTATATACTCTGCTCTGGCAAATTTAAGATCTAGCTTACAGAAATGACTCACAACTCCACCTTATGTACTTTATTTTGGGGGGAAATATGAGTCATATGTTTTAGAATTCTTCTCTTATTAACCTGTACATGTTGTTTGTGAATAGTGTCGGTTTTATGTATTAACTGTGTTTTTGTGTTGCGTTTCTTATGCTTCTATTCCTTTAATCAAAAACAGTTTTGTCTTTCGGCAGACAATAAAAGTTCAACATTCATACTTACCACGTACCTAAAAAACATACAAAGGAGTATTTAGAACCAAACGTATTGTCTCGTTTTGCAGAATATTCATTTCTTCCCACTGAGCTAAATTCCGTCCCCCGTCCCCTTCTTTCATCCTCTCAGGTGGCGAAGGACGTGTCCATCCGTCTCCACAGCCAGCTGGACAGTGTGGAAAAGAAGAGGAGTCGTCTGGAGCGGGAGAACGAGGAGCTGAGGGTCCGCCTGCAGGACCTGGAGGTCGCCAAGCAGGTCCTGCAGCAGGAGATCGACAAGGTAGGATCTAAAGGAGCCCGGGAGAGGCCACGCTGGGTTCAGCAGGGCTAGTTGGCTGTTTGTTAGCGTGGCTGCTAATAGATATGTAAATGATTTGACGTAGCTGGAAGGCTACCTCTCTTGATGCAGAGGTACAGTTACTAGTTTTTTTAAATAGCTGTAATATTCCTCTCACTAAACGGCATTAAAGTTGTGTCGCTTTAGCAGCAGTATCCATTTCACCACTGTGTTATTTAGTAAACTCTATTTTTATGCAGAAGGTTACGGTCTCAATTCAGATTAAAGTGTCTGTTTGAGTTTGGACTAACCTGGAAGTTTCAGCCAAACACTGAGGTTGAGGCAGATCCTTATTTAGACTGTCGGCCTCTTGGCCTTGACAAGAAAACAATGTTTACTGTGCTCCGTTTGCCCGCGGGCCTCAGGAGAGCCCGTCCCTGCTCGCATCTAGCGTCGACTTCAGCTCTGCCACGCAGCTGTCACTCCTTTTTTCTGTTTTTCCAAGTGTAGCCAATAAAGCAGTACATTGAAAAGGGAGACTACGATTTGATGTCAGGGCCAGCTGAAGCGAGGATAAACAAAGCGGAGGAAAATAAATTCATATAAAGTGTTGTTGGACTTGAGTTAAGCATGAGTGGCCTCTCTGCTGTCTCCCTTTCAGAGTGGTCGAATCTGAGTGAAAAGTACAGCGAGGCCCCATCTTACCACCCTCGTCTCTCTCTCTCTCTCTCTCTCTCTCTCTCTCTCTCTCTCTCTCTGTTGCTTCTGCTCATTGTCTGATTGGCTGACGCTCATGGCCTTGGCCCAGGACCAGGCCCCTGATGTGGGTCAGGGTTGGATGGATGGTTGGCTCTCTTGGCAGGAGATCTGGGTCCGTCTGCCCCGGTCTGGCTGCACTGAGTGTTCTCTCGATACAATTGCCAGTTTTCTGTTTGTGGACGGCTGAGAGGGACACTCAACGTATCCCGAACTGGTTGCTTTCTTGTTCACTAATGAATGTGAAAATGGAGTGTGAGGCAGATCAGTGAAAAATGAATTCAACATTGAATATTTATTCCAGCCTTCACATGCATACCTGAGCTTTGGGCAGTGACAGAATGGATGAGATTGCAGATACTTCACTTCTTCCTTCAACCACGCTGTATTGATTGTTTTATCTCCTGCTCATTGCAAATAATCCTCTTTGAATGACTGTTCAATAATTGATGCATTAACCTCAATGTAGTACTTAACGTTGTAAGTGGTTAAAATTCTCCACCCAGTATTGGCGAGCTGATTTGATCAGTTTTGGAGTGTCATGGATAACTTGACAATACTCTAGATTTATGTCATGTCCACGTGTTTCTGATGCTGATGTTTTCCATCAATTCAATATGGTGGATGGATCGGCCTCAGATAGAACTGTTGTCAGCCGCCAGTGCGATGGAGAAGAAGCCAGTGAGAGACGTGAATCAGAGCCGCAGTGAATTCAAAAGACGTTGTCGTTGCAGTTGCAGGATTTGAAGTGTTACGTTGTGCTCGCTGTTAGCAGTGGATGCAACAGAATTTTAAACTTGGTGCTTTGATGTTTCTTAACAAAATGCTCCCTGGGAGTTGTTCAGCTGACTTCTCTCCTTAGGTTTTTATGTTCATGGGCTCGCTTTCACCTTTTTATTCCAAGATCCAGATATTTTTCTAACAAAGCTGCTCATCCTTTGTACCGATGATGGTTCAGTGCTTATCCTTGAACCGCCGTCTGTTGACTGACAGACCGCCCATGTGCTGAGGGGTCTCTCTAGTTGTTTGCTGTCCGACTAACATGGTTTCATCAGCTGTGTTGAGGTCTGTTGTGTTGAGTTATGCTCGCCCTTCAGTGAAGAGGATCCTTCTCATAGCTGATACGGTTGAGGGAAGCGCGTGTGTGTGTGTGTGTGTGTGTGTGTGTGTGTGCGCGTGTGCGTGTGTGCTCATCCACACAGGAATGTCTCTCTCACCTTTGATCATTCAGTATAAACCGGAGAATTCAAGTCCCCTGTATCCAGAGAGGCAAGACAAACAGGACAGAGACCTTCAGCTAGAGACACACACCAGGAATACATGTGGGTACAAAAAGACAAACAAAAAGAGAGACAGAAGGACACACAGGCAATGAAGGCTTTGGTGGTTCACAGGTGTAAAAGAGGTTTGTGAATTATTGATTGTGTCCTGTGGCGGCTGCAGGCTCCGGTTTGTCCAGATATTGATATTCTTTACGAAGCAGAGCTATGCGGCATTCGTCTAGACCTGTTATTCTGCTGCTGCTGCAGGCCGTCAATAGGTTCTGCAGACATAACAACCTCAATGCTTTCTGCACAAAACAAACAGCTTCAGTAATGTCAATGGTTGATGGAATTGTACCACGTTGTGTACAAAGGAGGCGTAACGTGAGCAGCACGCTGGCAGCAGCTCCTCCGTCTGTGTCTACATAGGATGCGTTCAGGCACAGCATTAAGTGTAGGTCCTCTGCATTTTAGCTGTAGTTACAGGTGTAAACGGGAGAAAATAGACTTAAAAAGTGTAAATAATGCGCTCCAGTTCTTGTTTACGCGCAAATGTGTGAAATACCGGCCTCTGTATCTGTTTTGTCAGAAGTGTTTGAGATGGACGACTGAAAATCGATTCGTAAAGACACGCTGTGAGTGTTAGTCCACTCGAAGGTTATTGTATCAATACTTGGATAGTTTTTTATGTTGTAGGTTTGCATTGTTTCCTAACTGTGAAGCTATGTGCTAGTATAATAACTCATTGTCTGTATGTTTAGCACACTGTGACCAACACACATGCACACACATCAGTATTGTTTACCTTCCTGTGGTTAAGGAGACAATCAATGAAATTAAATGGAACGAGGAGAAGGGAGGTGTTCCCTCTCCTTTATTTTCTCTCTCCTATTCTCATTTGCTCCCTTCCCTCTCACAGACCAACTCCTCCTCCCTTCCTCACTCTCTCTCTCTCTCTCTCTCTCTCTCTCTCTCCCCATTTATTATCACCTTCTCTCCCGCTGCTCCCACAGACCCAGAGGAATGCTGATGCAGGGATTTCTTTATCCCGTCTCCCTCCTCTCTTTTTAAATCTCCTCTGCCTGTCTCCTCCACCTCCTCCTTCTGGCCTCCCCCTCTCATTGCCCTCTCCCTCCCCCATACCAACTCCTGTTCTCCCTCTCTCACTCACACCTATCTGTTTTTGTCCTCCCCCTCCTCCCGTCTCTCTCTCTCTCTCTCTCTTCCAGTCCTCTCCAAAACCATCGACCCATTCATTCCAGCTGTTTGACCTTTGACAGAGGTGAGATTTGATGGAGGGAGGGGGGTATGGGTGAGAGTTACAGAGGGACGGAGGTTAGGATTTGTAGCGGGAGGGAGAGAAATGGTCTCTGTAGAAATAGAGGGGAGAGGTTTTGTCATCTGAAGGTGAGGCTAGAGGGGAGGATTGATTGAAGGGATGGAGGAAGACGGGATGCTGGGGAAGATGATGAAGCCGAGTTTGATGTTTCGTGGATTTGAAGGATGGAATCGGAGGTTGAAGTTGAATTTCAGCAGCCCGCTATAAAAAAGGCGACAAAATTACAGGCAAAACATTTAAAATAACGACGTGTGCTACTGCAAAAAGTCAAACAATACCACCCACAATATTGACAGGTTTGACTGCGCTGTTTTACACATGTCTCTGCCTCATGAAGGAATATGCGATGGATGGAAGGAGGAACGGCGCGGCAAAGAGGGGAATAAAGAGGGTCATGAAGTGATCATCAGCCGAACGAATGAAGGACTTCGACCTTGTGAGGGTGGATGGATACACATTCAATGTGTTCCAGCTGCTGCTCATCTCCGCACGATGTATCATCTTTTATTTTGCTCACTCCCCCTCACCTGTTTCAATCTATAGCCAGCACAGGATATGCATACAAAGACTGCTCACAGTCAGAATATGTCCTCTTATTTTGCTGGATGTATATCTCAATATGAAAATCACGACTAGTTTCACACGTTGCAAATTAATTTAAATGCACAAATTCAACCAGACGTGAATATTTTATGAACATTCTACAATATAACAACTGCAATAACTGAAGGCCCTCAAAACCTACTTTCTGTCGATGGTAGAACTATTTGATTAAAGTCAAATATGATAATGAATGTATTTGGATCGGTTTGATCCATAATCTGAAATGGTTTATTTGCAAGTAGCACACACATGGTGCATAAAGTATACACAGTGCAAAAGTATAAAGATGTTTTTGAAGTGTACAGTTATGCAGGAATATGCACATTATTGTCCAGGGGATGTAAAAGTTCACAGTATAGGTACACACATGTACGTATATATTATATATTGTATCAGCATTAAGTGACCTGTTGGTACTTTTATAGATCTGAAGATGGCCCTATGGTATTGGAAAGTCAGCAGTTCAGTGTGTGCCTTTTTAAAGAACTACTTTTCAAGTTTTTATACTTTTCATGCTGCCTCATCCCTTCTGGTTTGAGCCTTTAACATCACCATTGTATACTTGTGTTAACCAGTAGAACAGCCCTCCATTGATTCCCATCACTACTCGTCTCCTTGCGAGACAAAACATGCTCGCACTGCTGTGAGCTCTCGTCTGTTGCGCAGTGTTACCAGCCTGAGTCCTGGTGCTCCTTCGCTCATAGGCCGCAGTAGAAGTTGACCACAAGAGCTTTTGTATTCCAGCTGTGACCACGCTGCCTCAAGGTGACCAAACACAAAAGGAGTCGTAGAGAGATGGAGAGGTGGACCGATGGAGGGATGTGAAATGGAGGGATTCAAAGCAGCATGGTTGGCTGGTTGAGCTTGAAATATTCCAGTTAGACTGAGAGAGAGAGAGAACAGGAGGAACTAACGGAGAACAAAGAAGAAAATGATACAGTCGGACTGAGTGAGAGAGAAAAAGAGAGGCACTGTACCATGTGGAGTCTTTGTAGCAGGGCTGGCAGTCCAGGAGATAATGGCCTTAATTGGAAAGAAATCAG